AATCATGGCTCACCAATGTATTTTTAACAAGCAGCTATTACTTTTATACGATTTGTTCATTGTTTAACTAATAATATTTCATTTTACTTCCTTAAATGTCAAGATGTAGTTTCTCAAAAAGTAAATAATTCAATTACCATTTTTGTTAAAATTTGATTGACATTTTTGTGAAAATTCGATTATCCAAAATGTTTTGATTTATCATTAGAGCAACTTAGAATTTTTTTCTTTAATTTTTCTAAGCTATAAAAGGCTACGTAAATTTCCTTGATGTGAGCCTCATCGAATCTGCGGATTTGGTACCCAAGAATGAGTCATTCTTACAAAAATAATAATAACAATAATAATTATTATTATTATTTTTAATAATGGAATGAGATATTGTTACTCACTTTTCTAGATTTTTCAAAATTAATCAAAAGATTTTTTACGAAGCTTTTATTACTTCTAATTCTATACACTGGTCTGATATCAATTTCAATCGTTCTTATGTTCTTCAGTATTCAAAACGGAGTTCTAAAAAGCAATTTGATTTACTTAAACACACGCAAGAGATTTTATATTTTGAGTTTTTCAAGTGCACTTGTAGTATTAAGCTTTATCATAAGGATTCTTCTAATCCTGTCTTTCATCCCAATCTTTGGCACTACGGTGATAGACATTTTGACGTCGATTGCCCTTTTTGCCGGCGTTGTGATTATTTTAAGCTCATTCAGTCTGCTGACAAGAAGCTTCCCTTAACCGAACGGCTAATAAACATGAATAAGAAAGTATCTTTGATGAATATCAAGAAATATTTTCGTTACCTAAAACTTGATTATGAAATTTTTTTTTGGTTAAAATCCTTTAACTCTAGTCTAACTACTTCTTACAAGAATGAATCGCAGTTGATTCAAGAGTTCAGCTGGACAATACTCAAACAGCCCAAAAAGCTAAAAAGAAATTTGGATAAACGATCAAAAGAAACTAATAAACTTGATATTGAAATTAATTCATCGATCAATGATCGTATTAAGAAGTTGGTAGCTAGTGCTAGTCCAGAATACCATCCTCAATCTCCTTCGTTCAATTAAAATTTCTACTCAGTATGTATTTATACTGAGTAGAATTTTATCTCTATAATCTTGATCATTATGACTTTATTCTTGACATTTTTGATTTTGTTCTATTCATTTTCTTATTTTCTCGCATTTACGTATTCTCAGTATCTTTTGTATCTTTTCTTCGTGTCTAAAATTAATAAAAATAATTATTCTACATCTAACGAAAATTATTGGCCTGATTTCGATTATTCTTATGAAGATGATGACGATAATAATTTTTTAGATGCCCATAATACCTCTTTAAAAAATATTTATGATAATTTTTCTCTGATTAACAATCTTTTAACTATTGATCCTACAATTGATTTGACCTCTTTATTTATAAAGGCGAATGATGTTGGCTCTGTCAATATGATGCATAATTACCAACCTCCTTTAAATCGAGGCATTTGTTGGAATTGTAATCAAATTTACAAGCATCGATGCTGCACGGCATGTAAGAAACTCGAGGGTGAATGCGATTGTGCTTTCATATGTGGGTTCACACAATCTACTGGTTCGACGGATAAGTTCGGCAACTATACTCAATATGAGAAATGCAAATGGTATACATCTGATATTACAAATCTCACTCATGATTGTAAGGGGATAGTAAAGGGTTTAGCCTATGTTTTATATCTCAATGAACAACAGCATAATGAATTTCATATTGCAGACCAAAAATGTACGAAAAATTGGTATTGATATCAAAAGAATGGGCATTTTGTATATCAATGTCCTGAAGTTGTTTGTTATCGTTGTGATCAGAGTAGACATTTGGCTCATGATTGTTGAGCGCAGTATTCAGTAACTCATAACTAATACATGTATATTAACATTTTACACAATTAATAAAACATCTAATCAGTGCTTGTCACCGATTAGAATTTTTTTTATGTAACAACTAGCATAACAATGTTTTCAAATCAATTCAATATCGCTATCGATGGGCTATCTGCTACTGGTAAATTCACGATTGGCCAGAAATTCGCTCGTCAGCACAACTTTAGGTTTATTGATAGTGTTTGCTTTTATCACTATTATGCAAAATATTATATAGATGTTAACAATGATAATTTAGCTTTATTTCTTGATTTTTTTATGGATAATCTGGATGCTTTAACAATTTTAAACACGTTTGATGATGATGATGATCAGGAAAATAAACTTCTTATTGGCAATAAAGCATCTTTGCTTTCTAAAAACAAGCAGTTGTGAGATGTTATCAACACATTAATTTAAAAGATGGTAGTTGGCAAAAAATACGTTGTTGTGGGTCGTGATACTACTACCAAGATTCTACCTGATGCTAAAGTGAAGATCTTATTAGATTCTGATCTTGAAACTCGGGTCTAAAGACAATCTCAACAAACCAATCTTGATCCGCTTACCATTCTTTCCGATCTTTTACAACGTGACAAAGAATCATTTAATCTGATCTAGGAGGTGTCTAAGGTGTTCACGATGATTAACACTACTCATTTGGATATTGAAAAGACGATGAGCAAGATTATTTTAATTTCATTTTTACAGCTAATTCAAGCAAACACCAATTATTAACTTTTTTATTGTTTAGTATTTTTTCTTGTATTATTTTGTAAACTTTACCTCTAACTAGTGCTTTATAGACACCGGTTAGAGATTTTTTGATTCATCTTTTAATCTCACAATTTAAATATATATTCAAAATGTCAAAACAAAAGCATCTTATCGAAGAAGTTGAGGAACCAACATCATCTTTGCCTTCTAGTAAGCGCGTGGCCGTTATCATGAGTGAGAGCGAGCTTAATTACTATTTGAATTGCAAGGGTTCTGACATTATCAAGGAAGTTGGAATGCAGGCTTTTGAAAAAGCCTATCCCAATGAGGAAGAACGTTTAAAATTTATGCGTGATCTTTTAATCTATCAATATGCGCGTGTTGAGGTATATAGAGAAAGCGAGAAACGATTTTCTACTAACAGGAACCATTCTAAATATTTTGAAGTTCAAACTTGGAAGAAAACTAATTTACGATCACTTAATAAATGGCCAGAGCTTTAGAATATCGGTTGGAAGGCCAGATTGCTGATCTTAAAGATCGTATTAATGAAAAATTCCTCGAAGCAAGAGAAGCTGATTCTAAATGAATCTATTTCAATTTTTATCATAATTAATTATATTATATTATCATCATTTTATAAATAAAATTATTATTATTCCTATCTAGTTCTATGTGAACCTGATAGAATTTTATTTGTGTAACCAAAAATGCCACCATTACTAAAAAACTATCTTCTTGATTTTAAAACGAACAAATATAATTTTCATACTAATAGTCTTTGCTATAAGTCACAAACCATACTTGTTCATCAAAGTATATGAACCAAAAATCGTTCCAGGCCAATTTACTGCTTTACTCGAAAATATTGCCATCAACGATATCAGCCTAACTACAAATCTTTTTCATATAGCAATCATGAGTCTTATAATGAGGTGCTTCGATCAGAAACTTCTTCTACCAATAATCATGAATCTGATAATAAGACACTTCGATCAGAAACTCCTTCTACTGATTCATTAGCCCATGTGTCTGACAAAGAATTTGTCAAGCCAAAACCGTATTATTGTGAAAAATGTTGTTTATTCAGGAAGACCAAGTATTGTGCACCATGCCAGAATTCATTGTTTGATGTTCAAGATTTTGATTCGAATTCAAATATTCATCACCAGGATGGGTCTTTCGACTCTAATGGTGTAAGATTTACTCATCGAATTTTAACGTACAGCGATAACTTGATCGTGTTGGATGATTCTGATTAACTATCATTAAGTAATCTTATAAATTTCTAATCAGTTTGATAAAACCGGTTAGAAATTATTTGATTCATTCTTCATCATCATGAATCAGTATCTTCAAGTTCAAAAAGATCACGAAAATTATACAAATTTGATTGAGAAGTATACTACGTATCTCAACACTCTTAATTTTATGAAAAATGATGGAATTTCCATGGATCAATGTACTCTAGATGTTATTTCCCTATTAAATGTAACTAAAAATTTGAAGGATCAAGCTCATCAGAAGCTTGATGTATATAAGTCCAGGGAGCTTAATTTCAGCCTCACCATATTGGTTTCTGATTCGAAGAATATTTGGTTATCTTAATACATCAATCCTCTTAAAGATCATCATCTTTTGTGGTAAGTGACTGGAGGGTGTGTGGAATTTGGTGAATCATTTATTGATTGTACAAAATGTGAAGCTGAAGAGGAGGCCGATGTCATTATCGATAAACTTTTTTATATTACTAAGGTTTCGGGCTTTCGCAAGTTCCCCGATGGGAAGAAGTGTCCTTACAACTGTGCTATTTATTTTTCCTTTATTGGTGAACAGATTCCCAAGCGTGTCAAGCCTGTGAATAACAGTGATTGGCAACCTTATGATGTTGCTGAGTTTGTCAAGCTAACTGACCTTACACCTTCTCTCTATGAGAAGCACAAGGAGATTGTTGAGGCTATCAATGTTAAGTTCCATTCCCGTGCCAGTGCTATAACTGCCAAGAGAAAAAAAGAAACTGTGGAGGAAAATATTGAAAAGATAGATAGTGATAGCTTATCAGATAACGAATCACTTAGATAGCGAATAATTTTATTTTTTTTTATTTATTGTATTTACTATTCAGTCTACGATGACCAAATGGATTTTTAATTGTATAATTTGTTTTTTTTTTAGTTCGATGTGGTATAAAAAATCGAGACAGGATTTTGCATTAGAACATTTTGAATCTATTAATGATTCGTATATTCAATGTAAAATATATAAGAAAAAATATGTTAAACCATATTTAACAGATATCATTAAGAAACATATTAGGTTTAAACACAGCAATATTTGGGAAATATATGATTCCACACACAGAGATTCCACGACGCCCAGAATTAATTCCACTGCGCCAACAACAAATTCTACGATACCCAGAATTAATTCCACTGTGCCAACAACAAATTCTACGATGCCCAGAATTAATTCTACTACGCCAACAACAAATTCTACGACACCCAGAATTAATTCTACTGCGCCAACCACTCAAGTTCGATTGGCGTCACAAATTTTATCAATTGCTACCTATATCAAAATTCCAATTTCTATTTCATTAACATTATTAAAAAGAATTTCACAAGATACACAGATTGCGGTAGTTAATAAAAAGCCGCAAATTGTTATTGAGGATGTTTTGTTTAATATAGGTTCAATCAGATGTATTGCAAAAAAGATGAGGATAGAAAATAGCTAACTAATCTATTCAGTTAAAGACCAAATAGATTTTTCTTTATGTAACTTAAGATGTCGCAAGATTCATTATTCGAACATTGTATTTTATCGCACTCTGGAATTTATTGAGATTTTTGCGATTGAATTATCCAAACATTCTTAATAGGAAGAAATATTTTATACGACATCTTTACCAAGATCATAGAGAAATATTTGCAAATCTTTTCAAGAAATATTTTCTCCTTGACTATAAGCAAATCCATAGCAATTGGATTTCTGAGAAACATGATTACGGGATGGCCACTTTTTACTTCTTAAAGTATAGGTATTTGTTCATTCAATACAATATTTTTTTCTTTGATTTTGATCAGATCGATTCTTCATGCTCTTTTCAATGGCTTATTATAGCTATGCATTCTCTTCGATTAAAGATTGTACCCCGATTTCTAGGGGGGAAAAGACCAGGATGTTAATGTTCTTGCAAACATGTTAACTGCCACTTTTACTATTTAATTTTATTTTTATTAATATTATTATAAATAACTTTAATCTATTTAGTCTTATGTGACCAAATAGATTTTTAGCTATACACGAATGATTAATGATGACAACTCTGGAAAAGGCAAGATGGCTATGCCATTTTACTCAGTATTTGTGATTCTGAAATTACGCTGTTATAGAGGGATAGGAGCATGTTCTGAGCACTTTATGTCAAGAACGCGTTCTATTATCTCCCAAGAAACTGATATAGAGATTGAAGTTACACCTTCGAGACAGCTATACGGCATACACTGATGAATAGGAATCTCATGCTGACCGTTTTTATTTATTATTTCAGATCTCAAATCACAAGATCGGTCACAATTTTGAATCAGTCATACGCAAAATATTGGAGGTGAACAGAATATTGGCCAACGAGATCAAGATAGTTCAGGGCGATAATGGGATCGATATCATCACAACATACATGGAAAAATTAGGCCTGATCCAGTGCAAGGACATGACATCACCAATAATGGTTTGAATGGTTAGGGATTTTGATTCTGCAATTTCGAGATATTCATCTAACAGTCTTGGTACCATTGTCTACAATGGTGAAAAAACGGGAAAGAACTACGCGACACCAAAAGCGAAAAGATGGGCATTGACATCTAAAACAAATATTATAATCTGTGAAAAGGATGAATTGGTTCAGACAATTAAGGATTTTTTTAAGGATGATGAGGTTAATGATGATGTTGAGATGTTGGATATAAAGGTGAGCAAGCTCGATATTAGAGGACTTGTAGGTGAAAATGTGTCTATCAGCAAGATAATTTCCAGGAAGAGAAAAAGGGCTTAAGCATTTTATTTTTATTTTTATTTTATTTTATTTTATTTTTGTTTTCAATGAAAGCGTATAAATATTGAAAGGATTTTAATAAAAAAAAAAGCAACGATTTAACCCTTATTAAGTCTGCTCAGTGCTGTATTTGCACCGGGCAGCTCTCTTAGCCTGTCAACATTTAACATGAGCGAGCAAAATCTTTTTGACCAATTTATTGATACCACATTATGTAAAATGATCCCAAAACTTGATAAAGGTAAAGGAAAAGCAACTCTTAAGAGAAATCATTCAGATCTTCACGAACAATTTTCTGTGAAAAAACCAAAAAAGAATGATGATGGCGAGATTATTAATTTAACCGACCTACCAACATTGGAAGAAAACAAACTTAACAATCAGCTAACGCATGGCCCAAAAAAACTCGTCAAGGTTATAGTCATATTTGAACCTGTTGGTGCTGGCAAATCTCGTTTCTCAACCATGCTCAAGGAGAATTGTGAGGGCCGAGGTCTCTCTGTCTATTTCCTTACTGAACTTTCGTTATGGTTGCATGAGGATTTTAAGTTGTTTAATTCGAATCCAAAGAAATATTTGTTTTATTTTCAGGATCTTGTTGTCGAGACTTTTGCTGAATCAATGGGCATGATCAAACAGATACATGCTCACTATGATATGTTGCTTATCAAACGAACTAATTTGAATACTAAGATCTTTACCAATCTCAATATCGATAATCCTTTGAAGCTCGAGTATCTTGAAAAGAAGAATGCCTTGATTCCACTACTCAAGGCCGATTATTATATTCATGTTCGTTGTCATTCTGATACCTGTGTCAAATGTCAGCAGAAGCGTGGGCATGAAGACAAAAATTACACATCTGACTACATGAAGAAGCTTTGCCTGGAGTATGATCGTTTTACGCCCAAGCTTTATCCAGATCGAATAGTTTTTGATTCGAATTATAACTTGGAATCTGAAGATCCTCTTGAGGCAGAGGAAGCAAATAAGCGTTATTAACTTTTCTTTGAGCAGCTCATTTAGTTTTTCTTTATTTTTCTAAACATGTATTATAATTATAATCAAATTACAAATAAACAAAATTGATTATTCAGTTTTTTTTAACCGATTAATTTTTTTCTTACGTAAATCTTTAATTACCATATCAACCTATAATTACGATGATGAAAAACTTAATGTGTTATCTGAAAATAAGGTGACATTTTTTAGCGATCATGTAAAAACTTTGCACCAGTCACGATCTAATTATGATCAACATCTGTATGTGGAAATGTTAATCAATCTAATAAATTATACGTTTTTTAATGTGTTGAACCACAAGTTTAAACAATATGCTACTATGTTGCAGGAGAATTACCCTAGCGTCTACTATTCACAGGTGTATGCTGACGCCTTCTCTTCTCATCATCCCAATTATTCATTTCCTGAAATGGAACAGATCGTAGATCATCGGCTTCAGTTAGAGGCTGAATTTAAAGCAATGCAGCACACCTTCAATAAAATTTTCAAGTAGCCTAAGCAACTTTTATTGGATGATCTGAAGATGGAATAAAATTTTTATTAGATGATCTGAAGATGGAATTAATCCACATGGCACATGCTTTAATTGGATATTAATCAACTTAATAAGCAGTTTGAACAATTCAGAGAAGAGTTTTATAATTTATATCCAATTTTCGCTATTTTTTTAAAAATTTTATTTTATTTATTTATCAATATGTAATTTTTTCAGTATTTCTAATACCGAATAAAAAATTATTTACATAAACAATGTCTTTTCGCACACAGCTAATCAAAGATTTTCCGTTGACTAATTCGAATTTATTTTTTGTTTATGACGCGATTGATATATGAGATTTCCGTTATGACAGGTACACACTTCGTCTCTATGCTGTTTGTACCAATGGTTAAAAGATATTTATTGATATAAAGGAACCTGATATTTTTTTCGATATCAAGTTAAAGGACTTCTCATTGATCGACTCTTATTTGGAAGAATTTAAACTGGCCAGCTATGAGACTATAAAGCGCCAACCTTTCATTCTCCACATAAATACAATTTTCTTCGCCTCTATTTTGAAAATCACAATGATTGTCACAAGGCCTTGCAGGAGATAACGAACTGATCAGATGAGCTAAACAAACAATTACAAGAAATTAATAATCAGAAAAAAAAATCTTATAAGGTAAAAACAGATATCACCAAACTAGAAACCAAGGAGCTTGAGGTTCGACAATCCATACAAGAATTTTGGGATCACTACGACACTTATTCTGATGATCTTAGCTGCCACTATCGAAAGGTGGCACATGAACATGATTTTGAGCTAGTGGGCTAGTATTGGCTTTTGACCGGTACATTGATCAGTCAGATGACTGTGAATTTTTCTGACATAGAATCTGTAGACAGCACGGAGGTTCCTAAGCTTTTCCTGTTATCTTGGGATATAGAGTGTGTAAGCACTCATGGCCCTGGCAATTTTCCGGTACCCGAGGAGGATAATGATTACATTTACATGATCCAGCTTGATATATTCTTGTTGAATCAATCCAAACCATTACGACGTTACAACCTCTCCCTCTTTAACATAAATCTGTTATTATTTTTTTCTCTGTACTTCAATCAAGTATCATGTGATTCAGACACTTTTATATTTTTAAAGCTAAACAGTCAGGAAGAACTTTTGTTAGAGTTTGCCGAATTATACGGCTTGTACCAACCTGATTTTGAGATAGGCTACAACATGAGCGGTTTTGATTGGTGTAGAGGTCTGACTCGGTCAAAAAATCTGTATTCGAATATTCATTTGTTCAATCTTATTAATATTCGAATATTCATTGAAAAATTTCAAATGAATATTCGAATATTCATTGAATATTCACTGAATATTATT